CCAAGAACAACAACAACAACAACCAGCAGAACCAGTGCGGTAACGGCCAGTCCCTCTACTGCTGCACCTCCGCTGGCAACAAGGCCGATGTTGAGTGTGTTTCCTTCACCAACGGTGGCCTTGGAGGTGTTTGCAACGGTATCCAGATGTGCTGCAACAACAACGTGAGTACACTAACCACCCAGACTTGCTGGTAATTTGCTAACTTGGAAATAGAACGGCAACCAGGGCTGCAACTTCAACGTTGGCGGTGGCACCATCACCATCAAGAAGACTGTCAAGAACTTCGGCTGGTAAAGGGTTTTATCCCTCTATCGATCATGGTGACCTCGGCACTGGGAGTCACTGGCAATGAAAAATCGATACTCACGAAGATCTACGATCATTTGACACACGAAACCTTTACGATCATTACTACGCGATGGATGAATGAATTTGAGATTGATATGGGATTTGGAATGATTCGCTTCTGCCGGTTCTGGTAGGGGATGGCTCTGGCCAAGCCGCCCTCGAACTTTACCATCCACACGCTTCTTGGCAAGCATTTCTTGGGATCTAGTTTAGTTGTTGAGTACATAACAATGAAAACATATCTGGTTGTTGGACTTTCTCGTCTTCCAAGGCAAAGTGATTTTAAGTTTTCCGTGCGAATTTGAGTTCTAAGCCACAAGTCTCACCTGCAAATAACAAATCTGGCGAAGAATTTGATGTTACGCCAATCTTTTTGGGTGATTGATGCATTTTAGACCTAGTGTAAACTCTAGATCATGAGTCTTTGGCAAGCCGCCCGATCTAGCAGTCAGGAATGCTTTGGCTAGGAGTGACGTTGCGAATCCTCATATTTATAATCACCATGGACAAATCCAAGGGAGTAAAGTCCAAGCCCGACCGAACCAAACTCCAATTTATTAAGATTTGTAAGAGAAGCATAAGTCTTACGATTTGGGATGTGTGGATTGGATATGATGCGCCGACGACGGCTTATGCTTGTAAGTCAAGGCAGTCGGTCGCGTTCGACACGGAGACAATGTCAATTAAAGAAGATAACGCGAAGGCGAAGTAAATGAGAATCGACCCGTTGGTAGAATGGAGTAGAAATAATGAAGAGTGGAGTATTAAGATAAAGGACCGGCCTCTATGCGAATAGACAATGCCTGGAAGAGGCCGATAGAGGCAGGGCCACTTTCTATATCAAGGCCTTGACTGCCAGGGATATGTGCGATGATTTCACCCAGTCTGACAGGACATCGTGGCCGATGAGAAGACCAGGGAGATCAAGCTGTGTATCGGATCACAAAAAAAATGTGACATATACGTCTCATGCAGTTCAGCGCCAACATATAGCCGGACTGTTTGCTGATGTCAAGTCCTAGGCCAAAGGGCTTCAAAATTATGGCGCTAAAATGGAGGCCAACAACAAGTCCTACGGTGACCGAACCGAGTATTTTGCTGTCGAGATCCATCGTGATTGCAATTTTATTGTGAATGAACTCCCGATAGAGATGAATGGTGGCGGTCTGATTTGTGGGGTGATATTGGGTTCGTTCGGAGAGCCTGGGTAAAGCATAAATGAGAAGAGATAATGGAAGAAGTGATACGGGATGGAAGGAATTTATAGATCATGGATAAGGGCCAGAACCTTGTGAGCATTTACCTTTTGGGACTGAATTATAAAACTAGTATCAATGTTGTTGGGCAAAGCTTGACGAAAGTCAAAGTTCGCGATATTCCAATGGGAGGTATGAAGCTTGGGATAAGCTTTAGTATCTTTCTCGAAGTCAAGCGACTACTCGCCGCTGCCATGGTGGATATCTCTTTATTAACTCATCTTTAATTATGGCTTACTCAACTTCACGCTAGCATTACAACTGCATGGTTGATTGTGTGCAATGAGGTTAAACTCTAGCACCGTTAATATATAATCTTCGCGATTTAGGTAGAATACAGACCAACAAAAAACCTGTAATGCGCGTAACCGAAGACTTTCTGGGGCCAGGTCGTTAGGGGCACGCATTGCAAGAATCTTAGTTGTTCTGCATCATCGATCATCAATGCTATTGAATGTAAATCAATTGCATGAATTTGGAACCTATCCTTTCTCCTTAACAGGCGAATGCACAGATAAATCACAGCAGGCATACGAGTTGCAGCTTATTGTATATAGGCATGGAGTTAAGTAGAAATAATCATGCTCTGGAGCCGAAGCCGAAACGCGAAATCCGGAAATTTATCAGCAAGGAATGTGGAGCCACTGCGCCGAGATGTCATTGGCTGATTGGTTACCATGCCCCACCTGAAGCAACTTTTATCGAGGCTAAGATCTGACTTGAAGGATTGATGATGAACACGGCCTCGAGCCTGCATTAGCCCAGACTGACTTATAAATCATGGAAATTGAAAGCAAGAATGGTGAGACAGATTACTATATAAGCACAGGTCGATGCCGTGTTGATAGTAGTGACATCTCATCAGAAAATATTCCAACCTCTCAAACTTCAATCTCACTGTTCAAACTTATTACACGATACACAAACAACGCAACACAATCTCCAACATCAAAATGCCCCATCCAATCATCTTCAACGGCAGTCTCGGCCTAGGGCTCATGCTAGTCGGCCTCGGCCTCAACGCAACCCTCCGCCCAAACCACCATCTCCAAAGCCTAGAATTTCCCATCCCCACTGAACCTCTCGCAAAAAAGTTCAGTCTCGCTCTTATGAGGATCTGGGGCATTCGCAACATCACCGTCGGCGTGTTGATCTCCATCATCTGGACCACGGGAGATGAGACGCTAATGGCCAAGGCTTTGAGCGCAGCGATAGCTATGCCGATCACTGATGGGTTCGTGAGTCGGATTGTTATTGGAGGTGGGGAGACGCAGCATTGGGTGTTTCCTCCTTTGCTTGTTGTTATGGCTGCTGGGTTGTTCGGATATTTCTAGATATAGAACTTGCATGTTTGCTACGTTTTATTTTAGATTTTATACAACAGTCTTGAAAGCATCGTGCAGTTTGCCTGTGGAGTATAGCTTCCTTGATTACGCTTTGCCGTCCTTCGTTTTCCCCGTCACCTTATACGCGTATCCATGAGAGGAGTTCCACAGAGGGCAACGTCAGCGGTGAGGCGATGCTAGACTGATTCAAGCGTTTTTCGTATTCTGTATGGGTATTTTCGTATATATCGACTTTTCGCATTGACATTTCCGCGTATTACATAGAATAATGCCAAGTACCCAACTAATGACATCAGCGATCCGTCTTCTGCAGACATAAAATAGGCTTGTCTCATTTTAGGGAAATATTCCTTCCAGTCTTCACACATACTGCCAGAGGAACTTCAATATGCGCTCATCAAAGTTCTGCCTCCCCGCGCTTGCTGTAGTTGGGGCATTTGTTACGTCTGGATATGCAGAAGATCAATGTCGATGTGTAAGTTACTTTACGTATTACTTCTACACTCTCTAACATCTTTTTAGATAATCGGCGAATCTTGTTGGCCCTCTACAGAAACCTGGGCTTCATTGAACTCTACAGTCGACGGACATCTGATCCGATACATCCCGCCTGGTGCTGTTTGTTACAAAGCTCACTCTAGCTACAACCCTGTCGCCTGTGAGGCAGTCATTAAACAATGGTCCGAGTCAAAGTTTCACTCCAGCGACCCTGCCAGTCTTCACACCGAGTGGGCCAATGCTGGCTGCACTCCAGTCTATGAGAACGGAACCAGTATCTACGGCGATGCCCAAGCTGGTGAGCGAGGTTGTTCAAATGGAGCGATTCCCACCTATGTCGTCAACGCTACCACGGTATATCATGTTGTTGCGGCAATGGAGTTTGCTAGTGAACATAATATACGATTGGTTATCAAGAACACCGGCCATGCTAGTAACGGAAGGTAAAGCAGGATCGCTATGGCATCTTTAGACATATATACCTGCTAACATGGTTTAGGAACTTGGGAAATAGTAGTTTGTCGTAAGTAAAGCAGCAATCCAACCTGAAAGCAATACTAACCTGTGTATCAGAATCTGGACTCACAACATGAAGAGAATTGAACTCCTGGAAAACTTTATTTTAGCTTGCCCCAACGCCCAAAACGCCCCGAGCCCTCGTATGGCAGCCACTGTTGGTGCCGGGGTTCAAGACGGCGAGATGTACGAAGCTTTGGCAGGACAGAACGCGTTGGCGGTTGGCGGGACCAGTAATGTCAGTCTCATCCCCCGCTCGCAGTGCTTGTGCTTGACTGACCTTGCGAAAGGATGTCGGAGTTATCGGCTGGGCCACTGAGGCGGTCACGGATTTGCAACAGGAAAATACGGCCAGGGGGCAGATAACATCCTCGAGGCAGAGCTTGTCACACCAGCAGGCAAAGTCCTAATCGCCAACGAGTGTCAGAACCAGGATCTCTATTGGGCTATTCGCGGCGGCGGCGGCGGCACGTTTGGTGTCATTACAAAGCTAACCGTGAAGGCCTATCCCGCACCAACAGTGGTGATGGGAGGCTATGACATTAAAGCCAAGAACCAGACTTCAGAAGAGGAGTTCTACAACGTCATTGCAGATGCTCATGCGCTCTTCCCTGCGATTCAAGACGCTGGTGTTCATGGTTACTACACAGTGACAGGTCTTCCTCAAGCTGAGGCGTTGACTTTTAGTGGATCGTTCATGGGATTTGATATCTCTAACAAGACTTATGACGATGCTCTTGAACCATTCCGAAGGATGCTTGGAGAATTCAACAGCACGATTAATTGGTCTTTTACTAAGATCCCAGTTAGCACCTGGCAGGGCCTGCTCAAGGTGTTGCCGGAAATTGGGACGGTCAGCGCAGGCTACGACATTAGAGCTTCTCGCTTGATCTCACGACAGACAGTCATAGAAAAGAGAGAGAACTTTGCAGCCGTGTACAAAAAGATCGGTCCCACCAAGGACGCACCATCGGTACAGACATGGCCATGTTCCTATTCCAGTCACAGCACTAACAGACCCTTAGAATGGCTTGCCTAATCTCTCTATATCCGGCACTCTGACCATCAGCCCCAAGCCCGTAAACAACTCTCTCCATCCCTCCTGGCGAAGTGCAACCGTCCATCTGATCACAGGCCAAAGCTGGACTGACTCTACAAACGAGACTGAAGTCAGAAATATTATTCACGATATGACATATAGAAAACTCGCATTGCTGAGGGAATTGGATCCTGCGCAAGGAGCTTACCTGAACGAGGTAAGATGGCGCCCTGGTATTACTTTTGACACGCGCTCTTAGCTGACTGGTGGAAAAAGGCAAATTCGATAGAGCCTGGTTGGCAGTGGTCGTTCTGGGGACCGAACTACGCACGACTTCGTGATATCAAGGAGATATATGATCCTAATGGCATTCTGTGGTGCCCGCAGTGTGTTGGTAGCGAGGACTGTGTCCAGCGACAGGATGGTAGACTTTGTCGAGCGTTTACCCCTTGGTAAACTCAACTATCTCTAATTACACTCTTCTCCTCTGAACGGGACGTAACCGAGGCGTCATAGAGTGTGTGTGGCAAGACCCAGGCCTATGACCATTTACTATATAGTTGAGCAAATATTGCAATTGCATGACTATGGTTGCCTACTCCGTCCAATCCATTGGCTGAAACGTGCCCATCGTGTCAAAAATGCTATCATGCATCCAAGTTCCCAGATCAATCTGATGATCCCCAAGTATCGACTCAAAGCTATTCCACACCTCCAGATTACCAGCCTCATCTGCCACAAAGCCGTCCTGCGACACATCCAAATTATCCTCTGACCTCAAAATACCATTATTTGATTCATGGTCACTTTCTATCGTAGCAGCGACAAGACGATCGAATGCATTCCTCGCCTGAACCGCTCTCGGCCATCGCTCGGAAATGATGTACAACATGGTACTACACGCTCTCACACTGCTGCTAAATTTGGGACTGAAGATTGAGGAGTCGAGGCAGAAACAGTAGACCATGACTAAGCCAGCGACGAAGTTTGCGTGTAGTGAGAGTAAGGAGAAGGAGATGTACGTCTGTTGGTCATGAAGGCGTTTGGACAGAGAGCAGACCTGGCCGGCGGAGTGGACGATCTCGTGGAAGGTTGGACTCTGTGGGGTGAGAGTAGGTAGGAAGGGTAGGTTTAGGAGTATAATGGCTTTGTGGTATTGGATCATATGGTAGTCTGTTGTGAGATAAGGGTGCGATTTATTCTCTGGATCGGTCTGAGGTATTCCGGCCTTCCATTCCTCCAAAGCTTGCCGAAGACGAGTCACCTTGTGCGGCTTTATATCGGAGACGTCTTTGTCCACGCGACATACTGTATATGAAATCTTGGAATCTATTTGCTGTAGCCGGAAGATGTGAATAGCTGGCGTGAGTGAGGTGATCTGAGGTGGGTGTTGGTTATACTCTGTAATGGCTGCGAGGATGGCTTCATCGGAGTCGAGTTCATCGTCAATATTGGCTGGGAGCGCGACGTCGATATCTCTGTCGGAAATAGAGTGAGGTCGACCCATGGTCCGAGCAACTGATCTCTCCAACATGTACGCCGTCCAGAAGATCCTTTTTCGTCTCTCGTCGAGGCTGGGAGGGAGGTTTGTGGCTTGTCTGTGGAGGCCATTATCAATGCAATACCGCATCGTTGTCTCGATCATCCACCTAACGGTCATTATCATTAGACTGCCCGATCTCTATAGGCGCCCATTTTTGTAGTGGTTGCTTACCAGACCCCAGGACCTGTAGGCGACCTCAATTGGTATATCGTGAGCAGGAGCATCGCTTCCAGGCTCTCGAGACTACCGGTCGCAAAGATACTGTCCGCATCTGCCATCGCGCAGGCATAGTGTCGCTAGATTCCTCAAGTCAGACATGTAGATCCTCTTGGCGGGTAGGCGCTAACCTTTGGAGATGAATAATGATCATCATCATTGCTTAGCTGCAAGTAACGTGCTCCGATGGCATACACCAGTTGCAAGGTCGCGTAGTCGCATTTACCCTCCCTACCTTCTGAGCGCGCAGCTTTGTGTGCTGGGACGAGCTCAAGCCTAGCTTCGTGTAGTGACTGGACTCTTTTTCGGGGTAGGAAGGGGTGTTTTGGGTGCACCCTTGCATAGTACGCTTCAATGAGTTTCTCGCCAACCTCCTTGCTGGGCAGATCTGAGCCGTCAGACACTTGGCCACCCTCAGGCTGCTGTCCTATGTTGACGCGCACGCCTATTAATGAGCGCGTCGCAACATTTACTTGATGTGAAGTTCCTGCTCGATCGCCCTGGCGTGCATCCACCGAGGGCAATGCCGAACGCAGCAGTTTCGTAAGAGGATACCCACTCGACGTTCCCAGAAAAGAATCCGGCGATGGCGCAACAATCCCAGCGCTAGCTTCCAAGTCCGAAGCTGCAGTCTCGGCCAAATTTGCGGGCTCCGTCTCACTCATGCCAGACTGGGTGTCAACCATCGACAGCGTCTGCTGCTGACTGACGACGTTTTGTCGCGGCGAGGCTATCTCATCCTGTAACCTTGAGATCTGACGCTCGAGCGACTTTACATACTCTGCTGGGTATGCTTGCTTGGCGCCATAGGAGCACTTCTCTCCCGCCGAGAGGCAATTCGAGCACGCTGGGAATTCATTGTCGCAGCGCTGTTTACGGGTCTTGCACCGACGACATGCGACGAGCCCTCGGGGACGACGACGAGGAGGTCTTGCGCTTGATGACTCGGTTTGTGAATGGGACATTAGCTGTGAATTATCTCTTGATGGAGGAGGTTGAGAGTTTTGAGTTACCAGAGGTCAAAGCATTTCCCCACCTCTAACGTTAGAAGGGTAGCGCCATACTCCTGTAAGCGCGCCCGACGATCGCGGTCTCGATCTCGTTAAGCCAAGTTCTATCTTTTCTACATCTGCTACCCTAGATACAACTAACGAGTGCTTATCGGAGAGTCGCACTACCTCTTTAAATAAGACAACATGCCGTTAAAGGGAATATTATATCTTTAGTTTTACCATGAATTGAATTATCCAATTTATAAAACCTTGGGTTTTAGTCAATTTTGTTTGATGGTAAACATACTATGTGTTTTACTTTTAAGTTAACTCAATCTAAAAGACACAAGTCTTAGACCAGTACAACACCAATATCCTCGATTAGTCCAGCTTAACAACCGTACACTCTGTCAAAACATTGCCCTCAATAGCCCTACTATACGGACAAACCTTCTTAGTCTTCTCAACAATCCCCTCAATCTGCTCCTTCTCCAATCCCCTGACACTAATCTTCATATCCACCCTCAGCCCCATATCAAGCTTCTTCATATCACCGACAAGATGCACCGTCGTCTCAACAATACTATCCTCCGGCGCAGTGGGCATGGTAATACCATCCTTGGCAGCCACGGCGTTCATGGCAGACTGGAAACACGCGCCGTAGCCAGCGGCGAACATCTCCTCGGGGTTCGTCTTGCCTGCGTCGCCGGGGCCGCCGAGGGCTTTGGACATGGTGAGGTCGACGTTGAGGGACTCTGCTTCGACGTGGCCCTTGCGAGCGCCGACGACTTTGGCGTGGGCAGAGTAGAGGATTGGTTGGTCTTTGTTCTGCTGTGTGCTTTGAAAGCGGTGCGTGATGATTGGGGTTTTGATGAGGGATGGGTTGGGGCGCAGGGCTGCGCGGCGGAGGGATTGGGAGATGCGAAGAGACATGATGATTGATTTGGATGTTCAATTTTCGAGGAGTCAAATTGTTGTAAATTGGTGTCAAAAAGTTGAACTTTTATTGTTGACTTTGGTTCTATGACGGTAAAAGTCATGAGCAATTCAGAGTCATGCACGTCACCATGAGCCCTAGAGTCGCGTCTCTGTAGCGACGGGCTACGTCATTGATCTGGCCCCAGCAACGTAGGAAAATAAATCAGTATGAATTTATAAAACTAAAATAATAATTATCATATGTAATGATGCTTAAAAAGACAAAATGAAGCATATGGAGAGAGACAAGGCATGCCCCGTCAGACGAGGTCAGCGAATGTCAAAGGCCCCCAGTAGTATGTAAAGATGGAACTCAAGCAAGACGTGACCTGGTACAGCTTTTGAATAAGTAATAACGTTGCCTAAATGGATTGCTATTGGTAGATTTGTCCTATATTGGCTAGAAATGATGGAATTCGCGGTTAGCCAGCTGGATTTGCAGATAGGTGCTTCTCGTCTTGTTAGCTCAGTTGAGTCAAAACCTGATGGCAGGAGATGACCACCTTACCATATACGGTAAAGCATCGAACTGATCGACTAACCTTGGCTCAGTCAGGCAAGGTGAGAGTCGGCAGAGCGTTCATTCGGCTCGCACAATCCGCCGGTGACAGCTGCATGGTAATTTCGTCGGAAGGTAGAAAGTCCCGAAAGCTCCAGACGGATGATACGAAACTTACAACATGGCGAAGCTATGACAGATGGCCCCTTTTTAGAGATTTTATAAATACTGTAGATATGCTTCATGTAGATTCAACTGAGCAACATTTCACCAGAAACACCCATTAGCTTATTCACACTACAACCCACTCACTTCGATTCTTCAAAATGCCATCTAGTGACCAAAACAGAGTCTTAATCGTCGGAGGAGGCCTTGGAGGCCTCGCTCTCTCTCAAGGTCTCAAACGCGCAAGCCCACCTGTACCATTCCACGTCTTCGAACGCGACTCATCCGCAGACTTCCGCCCCCAAGGCTATCGTATTCGCATCAACCCCGACGGCGCAAGTGCACTTCAAAAACTGCTCCCAGACCATCTCTGGAAAACCTATGAAGATACCTGCGCCGTATTCAACCCAGCCATGAGCGGCCTCGATGCGGTCACCGGCCAGAAACCAGCACCGTCTGGTGAACGACGTGGTCCGCCTCCGATGGCGGAGGGGAAGTATTATAACGCTGATCGCGTTGTTCTTCGAAATGTACTCTTGGAGGGATTGGACGATAGTATCAGCTTTGGAAAGACGTTTGAAAGCTATCGTGTCACCGGTGATGGTGTCGAGGTGACGTTTACGGATGGTACAAAGGAAACAGGAGCGATCTTGGTCGGCGCCGACGGTACCAGATCTCATATTCGTCGGCAGCTGATGCCGAACTACACCGTCTTGGATACTGAGTGCGGCGCTATCTATGGAAAGACATTCATCAAGCCCGAAACCCAAACTTCTATGGCTAAAGAATTCTTCGGTGGGATATGTCTTGCTGGAGAGAGCAGCAAGCCTGGACTCAAGCTCTTCACTGACACAATGGAGTTTCCACAAGACCTGAGCTTCGACGAAAGGACCAAGTATAGGGTTCCAGATGACTACGTGTACTGGGTCCTATGCATCAACAGAACCATGCTGGGAATCGCAGCAGAAGACCTCAATGCTGCGCAGTCTGTTGAGATGACCAAGAGCTGGCATCCTACCATCCGATCACTGCTACAGAACCAAGACCCGTCTGCATCATCGATATTAGCATTCTTCGCTTCCTCTCCAGAGACATTCAAGAGGGAGTGGGATGAACTGGTCGAAAGTCCTGACTGTGCGGTAGTGACTTTGCTGGGCGATGCAGCACACCCGATGACACCTGTTGGAGGCGTTGGTGCCAACTCTGCGTTTCAGGAAGCAGCCGACTTGTGCAGCGTCATTACCCGTGGCGAGGCACTTGAAGGCTATGCCAAGTTGATGACAGAGCGTGGTGAGAAGACGGTGGGACTTAGTGGTGGTGGTGCAGGACATATGTTTCAGATGAAGCCATTCTCTGAGCTGAAGGTGGCATCTCCTTAACGTTGCAGATGCGCTGTCAACTCTACATGTACTTGTAACAAGGATGGAACGAGCTGAGGCCCTAAATGCTCGAACACCCTTGTCTATAGATTATTTAATTTCACCGATGACATCTACAGCAGGCCTGTCCACGAAGATACGTCTTAAACAGCCGTGCCAAAAGTTCGCAGGTTACCTAGTAGGGCGTAACCTTGACTATTCCTTTAATCTCTAGTCAGATAGAGCCTGGTTCTATATATAATTGACCATTTGCATAACAGACATCGAATTCTTTTAGATAAAGAAGGGTGAAGCTCGTCGCTTCATCTTACAAACCACGGCTGTCTCCGGGAAACGCGACTCCACCGAGGAAAGGTCTGCGACAAGAAAAGGAAACGCTATTGATCAAGTCCGAATGCCGAGTTGATTACCAAACCCTCTACAGCCAGGAGTTAAGTCGGAATACAAGACAATCGGTTTTAGTTCTAGAACAATCAGAGGTTTTGGATTCAAGGTGGCTGTTAGTAGTCGTCGCGTCGCGAAGGCAAACTCAGCCACAAAAATAGAACAATGTCTAGCGCCGTGACATTAAGAGGAACAATATCTAGCGTCGTAAATTGAAAGCAAACAAATCTGACTTCACATGAAAATGGCAGAATTAATTAATTATCATAAAACAGACCTGTAGCCCTGGTCTGCGCAGAGTTCATTGAGTTATGCTGTTCGGTAATTGTGTGCGATGGCAAGCAATTTCAATATGAGTACCAAATCGACCGGCGCGATGTACAACCACCCTCAGTTCCCGAGCCTTGTTGCTGCTGGAGTCGTGGCGGTCGCTTCCATCGTCTTTGCTTTGAGATTCTTTAGCTCGAGCGCAACACACAAGGTGAGGATTCTACTCCAAGATGAGATCAAGAGTGCGAGACAACGGGCGCTTGAGTACTGCTTCAATCCACGTGCTGTGATGGCAAAGGGCTACGCAAAGGTATTGCAACGACTACCGTGGATGAGTTTGCATGCTGACAGAATAGTTCAAAAATGAGGTCTTTGGTCTTGATACCCAGGATGGTAAGGCAAGCGACCAATGTCGATAACTTAGCTGACAAGTGTATAGGTGTAAAGCTTGTGATCCCACCTAGCTTTCTCGATGAACTAAAAAGTCATCCCGGGCTCAGCTTCAAAGTCTCGATTGACAATGTCCGCCTCCGCCTTGCCAGCCCTTCCGATATTTACTGACTCTTCAAGGACATGCAAATCGAGTATACGCATTTTGGCGGTCCAGCGGAATATGTGATCCACGCTATCAAGGCTAATCTAACCGGGTCGCTTTGTGAGTATCTCCCCGCTGACACCTTCGTTGCAGGCTAACGACACCAGCCGCCTTCACACCACTTCTGCATCGAATGGTTCAAAAGAATATGCCAAACATCATAGGAAAATACAAAGGTTCGTCTCCTCATATCCTCCGCTGAGACTCTCCTGACCAGCGAAGACTGGACCCCCGTCAAAGTCCACGACAAAGTCCTCCGCCTCATCGCCACCAACAACGCCCGCGTCTTCCAAGGCACAACCGCCTCCCTCGACGAAGAATGGCTCTCTGCATCAACCGGCTATGTCCTCGCCTGCTTCGACTGCATCCGCGCCCTCAAACAATGGCACCCCTACCTCCGCCCCCTCGTATACCGCTTCATCCCCGAGCGCGCCGCCATAAAAGACCAATGGGCTAAAGGGCGCAAACGAGTAATGGCTTCTATGCGTGAAAGACAAGAAAAAGGTGGGAATTTGGAGGATCCGCCGACTATGCTGGATCATTTGAGCAATGGACGGAATGAACAGATTAAGGATGATGTTGAGCTGCAGTTGTTGCATCAGATGACGTTGATTGCTGTTGGGACTGTGACTACTTTTTCGTCGACGGCGCAGGCGATTTATGATCTTGTGGCGCATCCGGAGTATATACCTATTTTGAGAGAGGAGGTTGGGAGTGTGGCTAGGGATGGGAATGGGAATTTTACGAAGGAGTCGACGGTGGCGATGGATAAGCTTGATAGCTTTCTCAAGGAGAGCCAGCGGTTTAACTCCCCTGATCTCAGTATGTCCACCGCAAAGATTTACAATCTTCACGAGATGCTAATAGGGTACAGCTACTTTTCAGCGCGCAGCTATCGCAGACATGACCCTCCCAGACGGCACATTCGTCCCCAAAGGCACCAAGCTCGAAATCAACACTTGCTCAATCCACAAAGATCCCGAGTTATATGAGAACCCAGAGGGGTTTGATGGTCTGCGCTTTCACAAATGGCGCAGAACTCCTGGTAAGGAAAAGAAGTACATGTATTCCAGCAGCGGGACGGATGACTTGTCGTGGGGCTTTGGACGACATGCGTGCCCGGGGAGATATCTCAGTGCTATCAACATCAAGCTCATCATGGCGGAGCTGTTGATGAACTATGATATCAAGCTTCCTGATGGTGTGAGTCGACCTGAGAATATTGAGTTTGAAGTATTGGTAAGTTTGAATACAGAGTTAATGCGTGGATCTAATGCTGACTATGATAGTGCTCTCCTGAACCGGACTTTGAGATCCTTTTTAAGGACAGGGACCATTAGAATGGAGTATGTCTAGTATGTGTGGTGGAAACAAACAAGAGCCTTGGAATTGCGACAACTCAGCTCTCCGGTAGCTCTAGTATTTACAATTATTGTACATCTTTATGGCTCAGACGATAACGCTGTTTAAAATCAAGGGCTGTCACATTGAACCGCACTGACGACTGGTGACGATACCGAGCCTTAGCCAACAGTACGTACGGTTAATTTCCAAGAGCTTTGAGAGTTCTACATCCTAGTCTTGAGGAAGCTCTCTCATCGCTTGTTTAGCCTGGGCTTGATCAAGCACCCACGATTTCAACCAGAGCATAAAACAGTAAAAGTAGGCCATAGGGTGATATTCTCTTACGCACTTTTGAAAGCCACAATGAATACCATCCAGTGACATCTAAACCTTGGCTACTCGCTTGCTAATCTCTTTGCTTCTCAGACTTTATATCATGCTGTTTGTTAACATACTCAACATCCAGATCCTTCCCAACAGCAAGTAAATCCTTCCTAATAACAGCTCGAATGTGAAACGCCGCGCAGAAAAACCACACCATAACCAAAACAACCGTCAACGATGATCCAAAAATCTTGATCCCCCTCGATGACAGAGTGTTTCCAACGTTGATACTCGCAAGAGCCAGACCGACGTTGGGGAAAACGAGTGCCCACCAGGACAAACTAAACTCCATTCTTCGAGCGCCGCGGAGGACAGATATAGCGGATAGGGCTGAGAACCAGATCGCCATTAGCCAGATGAAGAGGCCTGCTGCTACTGACATGCCAGCCCAGAGTTCGCCGGCGGGGATGCTAGGGGTGCTGAGGAAGTCATCTGGAAGAGCGGACTTGGCTTGTTTGCCGAGTGCAATTAGACCACCACACGTGAAAGCTACAAGAGTTAGCACAGGGATATGAACAAGTGTTGGGGGAGACGTTACCTGTTGGTCCAACAGCGATGAACATGGCGGGTCTCTTGGACGCAACCGGCAACTTGTGCTGAATGAGCCTCGACAAGTAAACAGCATAAATAAACAGCGCAAGCATCCATCCAAGCCCTTGTCCCATCAAACCAGCAACTATAATCTGCACCGCACTCCACTGCGGTTGACTCCCCGCTATCTTAGCCGCCAACATCCCCGTCACCAAAAACGGATATGCAGGCAATATCCAACCGGGCAACGCCTCCGAGATAGCAAGCCTCTCCGTCTCAAAGATAATATGATACTGCACCACAGCCACAACCATCTCACAAGCATAATACATCCAAAACACCACCCTCATAGCCGTCGTAAACCACTCTCCCGTCTCGGGCCCCCCATACGACTGCGCGCCCGTAAGTATCAACGCAATAGAAACCCAAAACGCTCCAAAGAAGAACGATTCAGACGGATGATGCAGACTTGTTGGAAAAGCACGGGGTTTCATGGCGAAGCGGGCGGCTATGAGGGCTGTGAAGGTCAGGAAGAGGATGATGTTTAGGATGAAGAATATTTTGCCGATGGTTTTTAAGCCGGTGAATGTGTAGGGCTGTTCGTTGAGGAGGTTGGCGAGACCGCCGGTTGACATTGTGCAGGGGAACCAACTCCATGTTATTCTGACGACGCGGTCTTTTAGACGGAGTGGTGTTGTGTCGCGTGCTGATGAGCCGGATTCGATGTCTACAGGGCGGCCATTCATGTCGCGCGTGTCGGCGTCCCTTGTGTTGTACTGGGGATTACTTGGTTGCGACATTTTTATCGCGAGTATAGTCGCGATAAGATCTGGAGTAGTATGGGCATTGCATTTCTTTATTTTATAGATTAAATATCATCTTCCTTGATTTTTTTATCTTGGCTCGTGACGAAAGCCAAGACGTCGTCACTTGACCCATTAATCGATCAGAGTTTGGGACTAAAAACTCCACTAGAACTCCACCGAAGATTTAAGTCGTAGGGCGAGCCAAGGCTGAGATCCGGCAATCGGCGCGTTATGTTTCGGATGCCAGCGAGTCATGCATCTGTATTTTCAACGACTTACCTGACAAGGCCTGATAGCACTAAACCAACAAAGATGTCCAAGTCAACGTTCCTTGGTGTATTTGATGGTCATATTGCACATCGCCGACAGCATGGATACTTTCTAATATTGTAACTAAAGGAATACAATTGCCTTTTCCACAAGAACCAGAGATTCCGTATCCTTGGCTGATGTTTCTGTCAAAGCCTTACTATAGCTTGCCCTAAGATCCGACTCCCCTCCAATTCCATTCCCATTGCTTGCTTCTGGGAAAGTGAAAAGAGCGGGCAGTAGGCAGATCTTAACCTCTTTACCCAAAAGTGCAATGTTTCCAGCTTGAGATTGGCCGACCTTCATCTTCTCCGCGTCGAATAGTGTGCCCGGCCGGAAGAAGTGATACTTAAGCCGCTTTACCGACAGCAAAAGCTCGATCTTGAATTTTAACACATGCGTCAAAGTAGTGTTCATGTCCTCGATAGTCTCCTTTTCTGGGTCGCTGTGAGACAAACGCTGGGTTATATCACGACTTTCCGGAGGCAGGAAATAGCCTAGAGTTCGCAGCATTAAGGTGGAAAGCCACTCGGACCTTTCTGAAATTATCCTTCTTTTAGGTTCCTTGCCAGATAAAAGTGACCTAATGGAAATCACGTCAAGTCGTTGGAGCGCATTCCACCCACCTAGTATTGTTAGCTTGGTGTCTTGGTAAACAAGTAAACAGCACGGTATGCTTACTTTCGGTTTCAATATGCCATCTATATTCATCCAAGAGTGGCGAGTCAGCAGCCAGGAAGGCTGGAAACACATCTTCGAGAACTAGCTCGAATATACCGGCCGCCACCGTAGCTGCCAAGATGAACCTCTTCGGTATCTGTGCTGCCTCACATCGGTCGAGAAGACATCCCAGACAGTACCCGCTAATGCGCTTGGCCCAATTATCCGCCAGGGGAGGGAAATTCGTGCGTTGTTCTGGGAGGGCGTCGTCCAAACTCAGATCGCAAATCGTCGAGGAAGTATTGCGGATGTTTGAGTAGAGGTTCTCATACTCTGCCCGGAGAGAGGTGTTGAGGAACCCAAGCCTATCTGCTTCCAGGTCCTTGTAGCTCCCCATAAGAAGTCCCTCTCGCTCAAGCCTACCTTTCGATTTCGCTAGTTCCTGTCGAAGCCGAACTTCAACCCCACTGAAATTACCTGGGGACGAGCTAGCATTGTCAATGCAATGTTCCAAGTCGTAGTTTCTTCTTTCGAGTTCAGATATCCGGTTTTCCAAAGTCACAGAATAGCTCTTCTGTTTGAGGAGCTCTGCCTCTGACAGCCTTAACCTGACTTCCATGGGGGGGTTGGATCCTGCTTCCGAGATGACAGTCATGGCGTCCTCCTGGGAGTCAGGAATAACAGGGCCAAGCTGCAGTTCCATAGATGATAGTTCCGACGAGGCAAGTCTGCTTAGTTCAGATTCATCTTCACTTTTAACTCTCCCTGGGTCATCATCCCTTGCGAGCTCATCTTCACTAGGATCATCGTTGGAACCCAGCCTTGCCGACCCTAAAGAGGATTTTGTCCTCCTCTATACATCCATTAGTCAAAACCAATTTCCCTCGCGTCACATCTCTAACCTTTTGTCTTGGACGTTCGGGTACCACGTTTGAGTTGCCAGCCAGCGGAGTAGACACTTCATTGGGCTCCCTGGAACTGCTGATTGAATACAGTGAACGAGGAACTGAGAGAGTACCTGATGTTGCAGCAAGACCCAAGGATCTGCTTCGTGTACAGCGTGCACCTTGGGCAGGGCTTATGCTCGTGAACATTTCATGGAAAACCTCCAGCTCCTCGCCCACCAGAGGTGTGAGACCTGCTGTGCCTACCTCAAATAGCTCATGGAATTTATCGCATGTTCCCCACCTTTTCCACTCCTCGTACAGCTTCCCTCGGATGCGCTCCTTTGAAAACTGCCGTCCCGTCACCCTCTCAAGGTAACCAGGAGCCGTCACCTCGAACTTTATACAGTATTGCGCGCACCAGCTCAAGTATGCTAGAAGTTGAAGTCGTTCAGTTTTGCTCCATGAGAAACGCTCTGTCGGCTTGGGCCTGGCACGCCGCCTAGATTTTCGATTATTTTTTCTTGCCATGATGCAGTTGTTTGGGGAGAAGTTGGAGGCCTTTGAAGTAGCGGGAGTTGGTGTTGGTTCGACCCCTGTCGTCCTGCAGGCTGCGCACAGGTGATGTGATACGTAAATTGTCCAATTGCATTCAGTCAACTGTGCCATGATACATAGTTGTCGAACCAACAACACGCTATTATTGGCCATCACGAAATCCACGCGTTCCCATAATAGTTAGGTTTCTGCCTTGCTGCCTAGAGAGATGGTTCGCTGTCGGATCGTGGGGCTCAGCTGTAGAGATAAGGGGATTAAATAGGAGGGCTGCTGGCCTACTATGCGCGAATTATCCATTTTACTGTATGCGCTTAGATCATGTCGTTCTCAAGGTCTTCGACGGTGACTCTAGGTCGAGAAAATGCACCCAATCACCAAGCTCAATCTGAGGAGAACCATATTAGACCGGAACCAATCAACCTCGACCTACTAGACGAGGACCGTGGAGACCCCTTCCCAAAACGTCTAATCATTGCAGTAGACTTCGGTACTACTTACTCAGCAGTTTCCTACGTTGACGTGCCCCAAGGATGTCCATCGGATTCCGTTGACTCGAGGTCTATTCGTTCGATCGGTAACTACCCCGAGAACTACAACTACCATTATAATGATCCAATGGGCAAGGAGGTTCCTACCGAGGTGATATATCCCTTAGATCGACACTTTCGTGATCACTTCAATCTTGATAACCCCGAGGGACATTTGGAAAACGGCGATGAAGTTGAGGTGCCGGTACCTGACGAAGACGGCGACATTTCCATGATCTCGGACGTTTCGGAAGAGTTCCGATGGGGTTACCGCGTACACGAAGTCTGGAATCGTCCATCTACACACTCCAACACGACTAACCAGCCTTTGTCTCGATTCAAGCTCCTCCTTGACAACAGTGCGATGACTGAAAATGTGAGGCGAGATGTCAGTAAGACTATCGATACGCTCAAGAGAAAGAATGTAATCCAAGGACCTCTTCATGTCATCGCAGATTTCCTTACCTACCTTTTGGAGCATACTCGTGCTCAGTTGCGCCGTCAGGGCTTTGACGACAGTTATGAGAAGGAAATGATACTTTGTGTCCCTGCTATCTGGACGCAGAAAGCATGTCGGGACATGCAGGCATGCCTAGCAGTGGCTATGAAAAGAGCCAACTTCACAAGGGCTGATTTACAGAACAAGAGTATTGACAATCTCTTCATCGTGTCGGAGCCAGAGGCAGCAGCTGCACACATGCTTTCCACCTCGGCTGAAATAAAGGTACAAAGATATCCCTTAACTCTTGTCGGGATACACTGTTAACATAATTCACTAGTCCGGAGATTGTTTTGTGTTGCTAGATGCAGGTATGATTTGACCCCCGTTGCGCCTTTATATCTAACAACATTACCAAGGTGGCGGAACTGTCGATGCGAACACCTATCGAGTCAGTAGAGAGGAGCCATTGAGGCTTGAGACGGAGATAGTCGCTCCTGGAGGTATGTGGTGTGATATAAATGCGTTGCATCTATAGCTGATTGTTGTTTGAAAGGTGGTCTGCATGGATCGAGTTATCTCAATGAAGGCTTCCGGGACTATCTCAACGATCTCCTTGCTGAGGAAACATACCTAAATGATGGCGTCGAGACCATTCATGGAATCGTTGAGAGAATAACATTCGAAGAATTCGAAAAGAGGATCAAGCGGGGCTACGACTATAACCAGCAAACAGCAAGGAAGGAGATATACATTAAAGGACTTCGTGACAATCCTGCCAAGGGTTTCAGAAATGAATGCATTTACATTCCGAGGTAAGTCTCAACTCCAGAGCTCAGCTGGGATATTTCTTAACCTGGTGACGACAGACTCAAGATTCGAGAGATCTTTTTCAAGCATCTAGACGCTATCGCTGATATTGTGAAGAGCCAGCTCGATGAAGCAAGAGGCAAAGGATACACCGTTGGGGTAAGTTCCCGTTAGTCAAACAGGTCCTTCACTCTGACATGAGGCTTTACAGAAAGTTGTTCTCATTGGAGGATTCGGAACTTCAATCTCACTTAGCCAAAGACTCCAGGAATTCTTGGTGGAATACGGTCGGGATCATAATTGTCGCATCACATTGATGGAACCTCAGCAAGGGTTTGTTTCCGAACGCAAGTAATCTTTACGAGGCTGACTAGGCTCCGATATACAGAACTTCTATCATTAATGCGGTAGCGTCAGGAGCTGTACTTAGAGCTCTGAACAAGGCGAATGGGCCAGAGAGGATAGCTCGTTCAAGTTATGGCATATTGCGGACTGAGCCTTTCGGACAGTACCCTGAGCACGCAGGTCTCAAGCCGTCCTGGGACCGTCATGATGGAATGCCATATATCAAGCAAACGATCGATTGGGTCTTGAAGCTAGTAAGTTGCTTTCTACACACAGTCTATCCGCCAGAGAACTGACTACAGCACAGGGAGAAAGAGTTCCATCGGTATGGCAGTGTGAGCCCTTTGCCTGCAGTCATACATTCGACGTCTGGCCCGTTCGTCCCTTTATCTGCAGAGAGATGCTGTATGTGTCAGATCATGCGACAAAATCGCAAGTCATCCCAACAACGAAGGTGAGCTTGAGAAACCCGATGGAAGACATATCTAATGAGACTTGAAAGGCGCCGAGTATGTCGGTGAAATCGAAGTGGACTTCTCTTCTCTTCGAGATCGCCTAGTCCCAATCGAGCCTGTTGTTAAAAGTAATAAACAAAAGATTGGGAAAAGGCATTATAGGATTGACTTTACGATGGCAATCAAGGTTGTGGATCGCGACTTGGAATGTAAGTTCTCACAGATGAGAATCTATCCCCCTTGCATTTCGAGCATAGATGTTCTCATCTCAGCTGACACGTGGTTGTAGGTTTTGCCATCCACGACCAGAAGGTGGTCAAGAAGTGTCGCATAAACATCGCTTCTGGATTCAGGCCGGGAGTGAAATAGATACGGATACTTGGGAGAATGTTTCTATGGAGGTTGATGGGATTTACGTGAGCGTTGAGTGAGAAGCATTGAGAACTGGGTTATTTAGAGATGCTGCATGAGGAAATGAGATCAAGATAACACAACACCTACCCGCCTTTAGAGCCAGATTACCGTAAGCGGGTAAATCTTGACAGAGATATCAACGTCCGAGATGCAATTGCCTTGTGTATACTAGATGGAGTCCTGGGACGAGAAGAGGGTTTAGAAGATCCGACAGAGGACCACATATCGCAAGTCAAGGATCTACGTCTTGTCGCTAGAATGAGAGCTGCCTGTGGGCGCGATAGTTCAAAGTAACTATAAAGATGCTGGTGATGGGGTAACGTCGCGATTATTGCCGAGATATCTTGATGTGCCTTGGTCTGAGGCTCTGCTTTTGCTTGGACTAGGGAGGTTTCAGAACAAGGACAATAGCCACAAAAAACAACTGCATCATTGAAATCAATTATCCTTAACTCCAACATGTATAACCAATGACGGCAAATAAATCATCCTGATAGGGGAATCACATTATCATTACCGCAGCGGCGCAGTCCAACCCAAGTCCAAGCTGGTACAAATCCCAAAATGACATAAAGTCGGCGCTCGCTATATATCCATTTCTATCATAGCCTCATAAATCAGTTAATATTTTATCCTCATCGCGGTTCGAAAGCTTCTATGTCTGCGATCATCAGTCATTTCTTCTGTACCTCCGCTTAACAAGTGGCTTACCTCCGCAGCATCCGAAATCAGGAATAACCATGAGCGTTATCGGATCTCAATAACGCTATCCCCGTCGCCATCATGAGCGCAAAAACCACACAAACAGCGACGATGATTATCACCGCATATTTCGTCCAGTCGTCCCCATCAAGATGTCGCATGTCTTTAGTCCATTCTGGCATGTCAATCGAACCACCCTGGACCAACCACGCAATAGCGAAAATAGCGATGACGATGACGGTGAAGATGAGTTGTCTGGCGTTACGTATAGCCTCCAAAAACGGTTGAATTCTAGATTTTGTCTTTGCCATGGTTGCTCTAGTATTGTAAGTTTGCTGTAAGTGCAAAAAAAGACGTTGAGGCTAGATGAAAGGTGGAAAAGTGGCATCATCGACAGGCTGGAATAGAGTGCGGCGCCTCCCCGCATATTATAGCGACTCTATTAGATCACAAGACATTCAGCTATTCGCGGGTTGGGCTGTTTATGGCGAATCATGTTGGGTTTCGGATGCTTCGGAGGGCTGTTCAGCCACCGGGAAACGTATGTTTGACCCCACCTCGAGCAGAATCAAGGCAGTCATTCAATCTTGCTGACATGGATTCAGGTGCCTGAACAAAGACTTTTAGTCTTGTCAGATATCTTATTCCCCGAGAGTCCGTTAGTGCGTGGCACGCGATCTGCACGTCAATCAGATCGGTCGGCATATCTTCGCGTATCAGTTTCTGGCCCGAAGACTCACCGTCCATTCGCTAAACTAACCTAGATGCGAGATGGATACGTTCGTTTCCCTATATCTGCAAAAAGCCAATTCTACTGTTAACCACGTTATTGTTCTGCGTTGAATCCTTGTGACTTTGTCGGCATTTCACCCTGCAAGGCAAGGATGATTTAGAGCCTGGGCCGCTAATTGCGAATCAACAAAGCACTCACTGGTCTTGGCGTCAGCCAGTCTGGAGAGATGTTATGTCGAATCTGTAAAGTCATTCACCTTCACCGTTAAAATCCAACAACAATCCACCATTCAGATCGTCCCCGCCATTCACCAAAGGTAATCTTCATAGTTACGCCGAGAGCCCTGGGCTAAGCCTCTGGACCATTTGAGTCAATGAAAACGGTCTTGAAAGCGATTATCCCAACAAGTCGCGATCGACGAGCAATTTCATGAATTGTGATTTACAGCAAACACTTGGCTACCAATGTTGACAATTTTACTGTGAAGCTGAGCGCTTTGCACTGATAAATAAGTCTAGTTTCTGATGCAAGAACTTTGTTCTTGGGCTTGGAGAACCGGAGACAATTCATAATACTAAAGCACTTCGATCTCATTCAGCTCATTGAGAAGACGTTTAATTAAGCAACTGATCACCCAAGACGCAATGACTACTGATCATTTGTTACTTATTATAAACTTAAGCGAGGCGTGTCTAGGCGAGATGAACTAGAGGCTTGACAAGTTGAAGCTAGCCAGAACAAGATGGCTTCTTCAGAACGGTCTCGATCCTTGATTAATATGCAAGCCACGCACTTCACGAGCTGATGTTATTGGGTATACGCCATGGCAAGATCAGATCATTATCAAGTCTCGGCCTCTCGCAAAACTAAACAGTCTTATACTTACGTATAAGGTTCTTTTATCGTTCTTTAAAAAATAAAGATTTATAGCAGCCCTATACATCAATTGCAAACTGCGCTGAAAGCAGTGAAGGGTTGCCATCGGGCTGCAAACACCCGAATAACATTACTGCTAAACATATTGTTATTCGTTCGTGGACCCATCAGACCGCAGCCCACTTAACCAAAATGAAACAACTAAAAACACCACATCCACAATTAGCCTGGTGTACCCCGCGTTCTAGACTAGCTTCCCGCGGGACAGCACTATCAAGATAAGATGCCTCGGCATGTTGGCCGTTAGTCCCAAGGGTCACAGGTATAAAGGAGCTGCCAAGGGACTACGTTATCCTGGAGACCTAGTCAAACATACAAAACCCATCACAACCCGGACACGACCCCGCCGCGATAATGGCTCAGATCCATGGAAACTGTGACCCCAAATTCAACGAGGTTCGCTCTCTTCTTGAGAAGTACCTCGAGTCAGGCGAAGAAGTTGGTGCGTCAATAACCATTGACATCGACGGCAAAGAAGTTGTGGATATCTGGGGTGGACACGCAGACAAGGAGCGAACCAAGCCATGGGAAAAAGATACAATCGTCAATGTGTTTTCGTGCACAAAGACAATCACCAGTCTCGCGGTTCTCATGCTCGTCGACAGGGGATTGATCGATGTCAATGAGCGCGTTTCGCACTACTGGCCTGAGTTTGAGCAGAACGGCAAACAGGATGTTCTCGTTAGGCATTTGCTGGGTCATACGTCTGGTGTCTCAGGCTGGGAAGAGCCGCTGTCGACTGAAGACATGTATGATGTTGAAAAGACAACTGCGATGCTGGCAAAGCAAGCTCCATGGTGGACTCCCGGAACGGCATCGGGATATCATGCATTATGTTCAGGACATTTGCTTGGAGAACTGGTTAAGCGCGTTTCTGGAAAGTCACTACGCGAGTTTGTGGGCACTGAGATCGCAGGTCCTTTGGATGCGGACTTTCAGATTGGCGCGGCGGAGAAGACCTGGGACCGCATCTCTCCCATCATCCCTCCGGACTTTACGGGAGTTATGCCAGAGTTTGAAGAGGGATCAGTTCAAGCCAAGACGCTACTCAACCCACCACTCGATCCTAATTCTGTTAACACCGGGCCTTGGAGACAAGCTGAACTTGGCGCTGTGAACGGCCACGCCAACTCTCGCTCACTGTCGCGTATCCTCTCCGCAATCACTCTGGGAGGCTCAACCCAAGGCAAGAAGATACTGTCGGAGGAGACTATCAAGTTGATTTTCCAGGAACAGTCTAATGGAAAGGACTTGGTCCTTGGATTACCGTTCAGACTTGGCATTGGATATGGACTAACGCCATCTGGTGCACTGCCTTGGATACCGGAAGGTAACATCTGTTTCTGGGGCGGTTGGGGGGGTTCGACTATTATTATGGATCTGGACAAGCGTATGACGATTGCTTATGCTATGAACAAGATGGGTGATGGGCTTGTTAGTAGTGATCGGGCTGAGGCTTATGGAAGGGCTATTTATCAAGCATTTGACAAATAAGAGATATAGCTTCTTATATGACCGACACATATTATATAAGACCCGCGTTCATGTCACTGAAACATCAATGACGTCCGCGTGAGCTTAACAAGAGATAGTCCGGTCTGAGTAAGGGTTGTTAGCCGAGGAATCTATTAGGCATACAAGAAAAACACTGCATGTTGGCCAGAGCGGCTTCGTCTTATAAGGTACAGCTGAATGATTCTCGCGATGCATGGTTGACTCATAACATGCAATTTAACAGGGCTTCCGAATTGTCTCTAGCGTTGTTGGCTGTTTGACAGACGAGGGACTTTTGACCTGCAGGCCAATGGACCAACAGCGGGACTTTTGGATGATCTATCACGTCCCTAAAATGCTGGTAAAGTGCAAAGACAGCAAGTTTCGTGTGAAGAAAATGGGTGACATGTAGGCGAGAGTAATTCAGAGTGAAGAAGATATTAAATATGGTTATCGGAGAGATTGTTTGCCTGAGATATGTCACCAAAACACCCAGTGCAGCGCTTACCTGCGGACTGATGGAGACACTGCGCCGCACTCCACCGCTGCTGCCTTGCGGAGATTTCCAGGCGAGGTCGTTCTGTTGGTCCGTATATAGGTGGCCGTTGCCCACGCACTACATGGTCCGTCTGACAACTTCTCCATTACTACATATTTCACCTGCATCCTTGCAGTTTGTTCCAATCTTCAACCACTTCCAACGGCTCCCTGGCAGCATGACAGAAAAGCTGCAAAAGGATGTTCGTCTATCTCCCAGAGGTTTCATCACAATCAGAATTCATTGACCGACTCTAGGCCCAAGCCCTCACAGATCGAAAACCTATGAGCGATAGCATGTCACTGCGCGATATACGACAATCGATGAAGAGAGACCCAGACGGACATGGCATAAGTGCACTGGGCTTTGATGGTGTCCTTCGTACGTTTGACGCTGAACGGAATGTTCTTGACGCCGTTGGCCTCAATCCAGCGCAGATCAGAGAGTACTACGATGGTTTGCCAATGCCCGAGAGATTCCTCACTGCCGACTGCCGGAGTGTATCCCGCCAGAATATGTTTAACCCCAACGCGGAGGATATTCCTAGGAAACCTACAGAGGAGGATAGAGCTAGAACTCGGGCATATAATGAGGCATTGAAAAGGCGCGGAGTCTCATGCTGTGTTGCGGACAAGTCAACTGATGGTGGCGAATCATCCAGCTGATTGATTCTTCATGAATTTTGAACCCTTGGTGATCGTGTAGCTGTTATCGCGTACCCAATCATCCCAATAATGGCGTGTCCTTGTTCCTATGTGCCAACTAAGAGGTCATAGCGTTTTCCTCGCCTGTAGGTTTGCACTAATTGGTCTTCTCACTTTAATGTCCAATAGGCTGTGATCAAAGTGCAGCATACCCCGCAGGAGCTGAAAGTGTGAGGAGCCGTGAATGAAGTCCCCTCTCTGCTATGGGAGTATTCACTGTTCATCACAACCTTCATATTCTCCTGGAGTATAAACATCTGCGACATTCCATCTTCAGAATTGACCATGCCACAGCTTTCAATCCTACTTCTCTTCTAATACTACAGACATCCGGTTGACAATGAGTCTCAAGCTCTACTACAAAACATACTCAACGGCTGATTTAACCGTCGCGGTCCTAGCTGAGCTGGAACATGGACTGTCTGAGCCTATCGCGGAGAGAATCGAGGTTGACCTCCAAAAGGGAGAAAGCCGCACCCCGGAGTATCTTAAGGGTGTAAACCCTAATGGACTTGTTCCGGCTATAGTCCACGATGGCGTAAGCATTTGGGAAGCTTCTGCTATCACTATGTACCTCGGTGAAACCTTTGGAGTGGAGCGTCCTCCTAATAATAAAGAAGCGCCTGTGCTCTATCCCCCTCCCGGCACCTCCCGTGGGAAGGCTATGACGTGGATTGTCTGGTCAAGCACTGAACTTGGGAAGAAAGGAATTGCGCTTGGAGAAAGCCAGGCATCTAAGTCGAAGGTATGCCTTTAATTTTGTTACCAGCCTTTCCACAAGCACTCAAGACCAAATTGCTAACTTTCGCCTTCCTGAAGGCTCAGTTGGATAAGGCAGTAAGCGAGCTTAATGAGAAAGTTCGGATTCTGGATAATTCTCTATATGACCAGGATTATATCCTTGGGGACTGGTACTCGATTGTTGACACGCATCTCTGGGCTACTCTCAGGTGGTTGACTTATATGGGATTGGACCTTGCTGCATTCCCAGCCCTGGCGGCCTGGAAAAAGAAGATTGAACAGAGGCCGGCTATTCAGCGGCTTCAACAGCAGTAACTTCTCAGTTGGTAAACTCGCGGCTCAGACTTCCGAACAATGAAGCCCATGTTTAATATACTCCGGATCACAGAACTCCGTGGACGAAATTCCATTGTCTCTTTGCTTGCAACCTGTGTCTTTTGTGGTCCTTTGACCTCAAAGAGAACCATAGTATAGCCAATAGACACACCTCTGACACTATATTGGGTTCTGACATCATGTGGAGGAATTTACTCAGTCGGCTGTTATCGTGATCTCTCAAACAAACAAAGCAAGGTATATACAAGACCCAGCAGGTCCCCGTTGAAGTGATCGAGGGAGGCGCCTTAGAGGACATAGGTAAAGAAAACAATATTGTTAATAGCCATGCACAAATCAGATCTCTCTCACCTCCATGGCACGACCCCACTGTCTTCATACAACACAGTACTACTACACCTTCTATATATGACTTACCAGTCCTTTCCACCGGGGCTGTTCAGCTCAGCACGCTTCCAATCCTTTCCGCCGGGGCTATCCATCTCGGCACGTTTCCAATCCTTTCCGCCAGGGCTATCCACCTCAGCGCGCTGTGCATTATTGTATCAGAATGTGCCAAGCGCCTTGAATTCCAAAGGTAGAGAGAGCACTTACAGCAACTGTACGTCCGCGAGCCGAAAGATGGCCGTCTACTGGGGGTGCTGCAACAGCGGCTTGGACTGCAGCAATGCCGGCGAGAATGATAAGACTGGATCTCATGATTTGTGATTTTGAGGGGATTTGATTTATGTGAAATGTAATAGTTGCTCAAGTCCGAAGTTGAGTCGAGGCCGGCGCCCAATTTATAATTTTAGCTATCGTGTCTATACTGGCGGCCGCCGCCGACAGTGACTTGCCGTTCAGGTGCTTAAGTAAGTCATTACTAACGTTAGCTGTGTCGTATTGCGTCAAATTGTCGCCTTTTGATCCGCCCATTGCTTGGATCGGCCGACGTGTTGATACGAGCTATCATGACGAGCTGCGGGGATCGGCCGACTTATGCAGCTGCTTCTTGTGGCAATACCTGTGCCCATTGGTAGAGCAGGACCTTTTGTAAAGGAAAAGAGGTATGGAAGACATGGGGGCTGTAGTAAAACATTCATGAGAAACCTTTAGTGGTGGAAAGAGATGTTCCGATAACAGTCCTGTAACTTCTGATATCCCAGGTTACAGCGAGATAAGCGTATGCCTTCCGAGCACATGCCCACCGCACCACATATGGCTTACACAGTTTTCTTCCTGAAGTAAGGGCTCTTTCTGGTATGAGAGTTGCTTGATTATCAAGCCCCTCTTACTGGTATCACAGTGCTAGTACCCCTGCTGCCACCTATACCAGGGGAGAGGTCGAGGGATGACGATGACATCGGCGGGGACTGGCCTCTTGTTGAAGCTCCAAATTTGGGACACAGCGAGTGTGATACAATGCAACGTTGTCGGAGAGGCCGCCGAAGTCATAGGCCTTTTTACATATGCTGGTCTGGACATGACGATTGCTCATGCTATGAATAAGATGGGTGGTGGACTTTGTTAGTAGTGATCGGGCTGAGGCTTATGGAAAGGCTATTTATCAAGCTTTTGAGAAGTAGTAGACCTTACGAATTGCATTGCAATATCGATGACATCATGCCCACGTATGGACAAGACTTGATCGGATAGGAGGAAAGGCCTATATATAGCAGAAGCAAAATCAAGATAAAATGACAGATCACCAATGTTTGTTTATTCCAGACCATTATGTCTACGTTTGAGTATCTATTAAATAGAAAGCTCTGAGACAATCACTACAGTTGAAGAAAAACTTCTAAACATGTAACCGTCATTTATTGGCAGGTCAGACAGGCTTCAAGAAAGGCAGTTGAGAATAGAAACATAGAGGAACCAGGAACTCAGTTGTAGTCGCAAGATAGACGCTTATACCAACTATATCGAACGCTCTGTTAGTAAACTCTGAGAAGCGAATAGGGATGACGTTATAACAGGGAAATGAAAGGAATGGAAGTCGTCACTTACAAATCTCTTGCAAGACCATTTGGGACCTCGTCCCCGTTAGTGCAATCAACGAAAGAAGTTTGAGAGGCTTCGGGAGCAGCCGTGCACTTGGCAGTGAGTCCATCATCACATATCACGCTACCAACTGTCGCGGCGTTCGGCCCCTGGTAGGAACAAGACGAATGGCCGTGAAGGCTAAAAGTAGCCAAGGATGTTGGATACTGCGCTGGTGAAGCTCGGCCTATGGCGGTGCTGTAGGCTATTGGGTTATCCTTGATAGCACAGACATCACTGTCTGACTGGTTGCCCTTGTCAAATGGCCCGCAGTCCCACCACCAGGTATCCGTCACGCCTCCGTGCCCTGCGACCTCGATCTCTCTGGTGTAGATGACCAGGACGTAAGGCGATGGGGATGGGGATGGGGTTGAAGCAGTAGGGCCGGTGGGGAGCTGGGAGACGGAAATTGTCGTCTTGGGTAGAGGTGACGTGTAGGCGCATCTGTTGGCAGGCGTGACATTACTGTCAGTGGACAGTGCAAAGGTTGAGCCGGAGCAGACGCAGTAACCTTTGGCTATACCCCCGTCAGGGTCAGCGTTATGCGTGCTGCAAGAGGCATACGATGGAGCCGTTGTTGTGCGATGAGGCTGCAACGTGACGGGGCGGGTGGTGACGCCTGAGGCGGGAAGGGGATCAAGGCTTGGGTCTGCATCATCGGGGAAATCGACTTCATCATCTCCACAAGGATTGCTGTCGTCATCACAAGGGTCGCCGTCTGCGTCATCCTCCTCCCCATCCTCGCCATCTTGACCACATCCCAACCATTTATAAACATTCGCATCTAGAAAGCCTCCCGATGAAGCTTGTCTGCTAGTCAGGTCCCGAGCATGCGTCCGCTCTTGACTATTTACCATCGCCTGAATGTGACTGTCGTTACGCTTTATAAGCGCTCCATCGTCATTACCAGAATCCTCTGGTGGGTCAGTACACCTTTCGTTCGCCACGATGCTGTCCTGCCTCCCTAGTGCTTGATAATCAGAGTCCAAACTCCACGAACTTGTATCCTGGTCCCAGTCATACTTTCCCGGTGACGGATACCGACAATATGTTGGAGGGAGTAGCGCGTAGACTGCATAATCATCCTCTGTAGGATTCTTCACCATCTTATCCTTGGAGTCGAGGTAGTGCATGAGCTCCGGTTTCTTGCGGTCGGTGTTGGGTACGTCAAACCATGGATCCCACGTGCGGACTTTATTAACCACAACGTTATTCACCAAGGTGAACTCCGGCCCGTACCTGGCAGCACAGAAGTTTTCATCCACCAAATCTTCCGGCAGGTATTTGGTAAAACTGGGATCAAAATCAACGCAGTACACAATGCCTTCAGTGTCGATCTTTGGGTTTGTACCTGTATCTTTCTCCTGGAAATCGTTATACCTCTTCGCCACTGACTCGATCCAAAGTCTCAAATGATTACCGGCGATCTGATTCTCCAACTTCTCAGACCAAGGGCCACCAGGAATCAACCGAAGCACGGCACTGGCGTCTTTTGAGCGATCGGGATTGCCAGAACCAAAAGGGTACTCTTCCACCTCGCATCCTTCAAGCTTCCAACCTCCTTTTGGCCTATCTTTGCTCTTGGCAAAGTAATGGCCTTTGTACCTGTTGTCAAGGAGGCCTCGTCAGTAAAAACGGAGTATGGAAAATTGTTGCTTTGTTTCAGTGAGACAACTGACCAGCGTTGTGTGACATGGACCTTTGATCCCTTTGCATGAGTCAATATCGATGTCGCCCCGCGGACCTTTATGGCTGATTTCGCATTGCCGCAGACGTTGGGATACAGATCATGCGGGCATGTATAAGTAGCGAGGCATTTGTCTTTGCCTGGGCTCCTGGGGTCTTCATTCTTGGCGGGACAGAAGTCGCTTCCACGTCTGTCCAGTCTAAGGCCTAAAGAATCTAGGCCTCGGTTGATGAGTGATGGGAGATATCCCCCAGAGGCTTGATGCTTGGCTTTGGAAGATGTCGGACAACACGAGCTCTCGCCCTTCAAGTAGGTTTTAACTGCATCCATCTTGCTGTCTATCTTCCGTTGACAAGAAGTGACTTTGGAGTCAAGTTCATCGCTTGCAACATCACAGTTGATCGTATTTGAGCTTGCATCATAGACAGGGTAGTTACCGTTATCGCACATGCCCGAGCTGGTGTCAAACTCACAAGGGTCAGCCTCGGTACTGGGAGGGCTACCAGAGGGTCTCGGATGCGGAGGAGGATCATCATTCACAGGCGCTGGTCCTTCAGGCTTGGGGCACTGGCCCGCAACCTTGACACCAAAGACTTTGATGCATGGCAGATGGAAGGTAGGTAATTCCGGAAACTTGGGCCACCTGAACTTGACGCGTGGAATCTCGGGTGTGTCCCAGACTATCACTGGCTTGCAAGTAGGACAAGGCAGAATGACGGGAACGACTGTTGTTGATGAGTCGCTCCCGGTTGTTGTGATCCAGATGTTGGTGGTGACTGGAAAATCGGTGAAATCCTCAAGGGAGACTCCAGGCGGAACTGTTGTCATTGTTGAAGTCACATCGTCGTCCGTGGAAGTCGACAGAGACGTAATAGTGAGGGTCATGCCGTTGGTGGTGACAGTCTGGACAACTGTTGTAGGTGGAAGCGTGCCACTCTGGCCAGGCGGAACCGAGACACCACCTCCACCAGGACACCAAGCTGCCGCCGCAGGACACGTTGGACCAGGAGTATCTTTTTTACCTGAAGCAACAGATGGTGCGAGCTTGGCTGGTCCTTGTGGAGATTCCTCATTTCCATTGTACGCAGAAACGCACCATTCATAGTTCCAGGTGCCTGGGAATAGCAGAAAGTCATCAAGACAGGTCGAACCGGTAATGTTAGCAACGATTGCAAACTTGCTTCCTTTTTCGAGGACGTTCCGGTTCCAGACATGGTAACCTCCAGCGGAGTCGGATCCGGTCCAAGTGATGCTATGAAAATGTCAATGCTTACCATAGTAGAGAGAATATCGTTGCTAAGGGGGGCTCACTGAACAGTGGTGGGGTCTATAGACAGAATCTTGAGATCCGAAGGAACTGGTGGTGTCCCAGCGCCTGGAACAGCGTTATTGGCGAAGAAAGGTAGGCCTTGGCCGTTTTCGTTCCAAGTAACGGGGGCAATCAGATAGTTCCGACCAGGAGTAAGTCCTTTGATAACCGCAGGCGAGCTAGTGAAAGCTGCACCGGTAATAATTTCGCAGTCGTCTGGGCTCCAATCCCAATACAAGATGTTGTATTCGACAATCGAGTCTGATTTTGCACAAGTAATTGTGCTGGTTAGCCATGGTGATCTTGAAGCAAGGAGTTGCTGAAAAAGTCTGACATACCAGTATTTGGTCCTGCTGGAGGATCCCATGTTACAGTGAACCCATCAGCACCGGGCTCTACCTTCACATTTTGCGGCGGATCTGACAGTTTCGGGGTGGCCTTGGCAGATAGCTTTGATGTATAAGGGCCCACGGAGTAGTCTCCGTAGCGAGCTCGCACAGAAACAGAGTATGTCCAGCCTTCAAGCGGCCACTGCGAATCCCATCTGTTGGATAAGGTAGTTGTTGGGGAGTATGTGTTGGCGCCACCATCAATGGAAACTGTTACATCGTAACTATAAGCACCGTAGACTACCCATTGCTTAGTTAGTAAAAGTGAAAATACAGATCACGCGGCTGAGTGTCGTAGAAAACATGATCAGAGGCGTTGTTACTTGCCTGGATCCCAGGTGGCGGCTGGGGAGAGGAAAAGACGCGGAAGTTGGATGGTTGCGGTAAGGGCCGGGCCAAAGCTGAGTCGCCCTGGGTAGGAACCTGAACTGGATTCTTGCCTAGATTGAAACCCTTCACCAGAGTTTTGGAGAAAATGCTAGCGATCTGGAACTCCCCCAGAGCATTGGGGTATAAGCCGTCAGTACCTACTGGCGTTAGTGACATGAGCACAAAACAACGATTTCCACCAAAGTAGTACATACCTGAGGGGCAGCCACTGGGTTGACAGTCCTGAACAGAGAGAAAGTAGATGTTTTAGCATGCTTCTACCATCGACGAACCGCTTCTAGATCAGATGACTTACATAGTTATCCGCAAGTGGTACTAAATGTATGGGGGATTGCTTCGTAGACCACTTGGATATATAGTCTGGAAGCAGCTTGTTATATATCTCGGTGTTCTTCACGAGGTCATTCCGACCCTGAATGAAACTCCTCTGAGGCACGTCAGCCATGGCAATCTTGACGTTGGGGTTCGAAGCTCGGGCGTTAGTGACAAAGGTATCGACGCTATCCAGAGTCCCGGCAGCGTCGCTGTAGAACCAGCCCATGTCATTGAAGCCGAGCATGAAGAGAATAAGATCTGCAGGTGTCGACCGAAGGACATTCGCGATCAATCCTTTGTCGACCGCAACAGGCCTCCCTGGATGTCCTATCAGCACCATAGACGACCTACTAAACGGGTTTGGGATCTCCGAATCCTACATACCCCTGGACCAAGTATGTTAGGAAGAGCGTTAGATAGGTGTATGTGAAGGAAAGGTTGGATTCAAGGCTAGGATTTACTGAGGAAGGTCAAGGGAGGGTTATCGATTTGTCTTACCATGCAGAAAAGTGGTTGCAGTTTGACAGGAATTCCTCGTCCACGTCTGCAGCATAGCCGCCAGATGTTTTAGGAGCACTAGAAGGAACTGGTTTTCCATACAGAATTGGAGGTGAGGGTGCTGTTGGTGGATCCGGCGGTACCTGATAAAGTTTGATACTTAGCATGATCATATTGATCAAGAGTAAAGGTTCGGTCTTCGTTCATTAATACATACCGTGCCTTTATAGGGTCCAACCATTTCAACGGCGATACCATTCTGCTTGAAGAACTGCCAGATTCTATAACGCCAGGTGTAGTCACCCTCGCGACCTATTGTGAAGAGCCGTTAGGAAACGCCCTTTGAGGGAATATTTTGAGAGTCTACTGAGCAGCGGTATTGAGGCATCGAACCTTGAGACATGGAGTCACCGACAATCATGACCCTCAGAGTTGACTGGCGTGCAACCACCGAAAGGGCTGGGCTGGACACATTTGTTGAGGCGATCATGTCCGCGATCATGTCATTGACTGGGCCAAAGCTAACCCCAGCTTGTAAAGGCGGCAGGGCAGGAGAAAGTTTACTGACAATCTCATACTGAGGGACAGAACTGATGTTAGTTGGCAAGGGGAGTGCAGGAATAGTTGAAAGCTGATGCAGGCTCCATGAAATAGAAGACGCCAAATGTACCGCCGAGGAGAACTCGATACGACCGGGGGCATTAGCTGTGCTTTTTGCTGGAGAATATGAGATGGTATCGGTTTCTTGGCCCGAAACGAGACCGGATAGGAGGAGGCCACAACTAAGGGCAGCAAATACAGCCGTACGGAGAATTTCACTAGTTCGACGCATGGTTAAAGATGTTTCAAAGATTATCGTCCACTCAAGAATGATGTTTCTGGTGTCATGTTCAATTATCTCTTGCTATGGCAATTCTGAACACTTTATATTCCAGATTTCCACCCGGTTTAAGCCTAGAGAGGCTTACAGGAAGCGACAAGGCATGACATGCTTTCAACTTGTCAACTTGTATTAACCAACATGCATATGGCACTGAGCTTAGAACCAACATCACAATCTTCTCGTACATGGTTCTCTTGAGGTTGAGGTCTTCATGTCTCTTTCAAGAGTACGAACGGTAATTGGCTAGAGACTAAGGCGCGGAGCACCGTTCCGGCTACAGTAGACCCTCTTTCGTGTCTGGAACAACTCTGTCACATCAAAACCCTGCATCTCGCCTACCCCTCAATCCCCAGTTTATAGTTAGTGGCAAGGTTAAACGGCTATGTCGGCAACTTGACGTCGGGCACTTCTCCATATGAATTAGCACTTTTCGGATTGCAAAAGTACCCTTCTAAGGAACCTAAAGTTAGGCAGGGATGGAATATCACCAACAACACTTTCACATGAAAATAACCGACCCCAGGCAGTTGATGCCGAAAGTATCCCTCCCATGCCTTATCTCTCGGGGATAAGAACCAAGCCTGTGACAGTGTCAGGGTAATGATTAGACACCCACCCAACATGAATGAAGAGAGACGCGAGCAGATCGCAGCCGCTCTTCGCCGGTACCGTGAGACGGTGTTGCAGCACAATCTATTCTTGCTCCGTACTCTAGTGGAAAAGGTCGAAGCTGAGCCTATCCCGCCGAACTGTACAGAACCGGCCGCACAGAGCCTACGAATGCAAGCAATCCAAGAGCTCATTGAAGTTCCCGAGTCAATTGAAGCGCCACGAGAGATCCTTGATGAGAGCGTCATTCCTTCATTGATCTCGTCGGCCTCGCTCGAGGGCGTGGACGATGATCCAGTGAACCTCTCACTAAGACGAGAATACTTCAACGGCATCAAAGCAAGCATTGCAGAGAGGGGCGTGGAGGTTGCTGAATTCCCCCCCTCGGACTTAGAGTACCTCTGTACGCTTGTCAGTGGCATCACGGGTCCGGGTCTTCCATTTCACAGGGAAACATCTCAGATCGACTTCATCACCCCTCTCAGACCCGGCAAGATGAAAGCCATGATTCAAGCTGTGGGTGTGCCAGCAGGGAGTGATGCAGCAGGGGACCATAATCAACTCACCGGGCTTTGGGGGGACTGGGAAATTGCTATAGTGTTCAAGATTGGTGGTGGGCCTCGTGGTTGGGGCGGCTCATACGCGCTATACTCCCGGAATGAGGACAACGAGCAGTGGAAATGGAGATATGGAGTCCATGATGAAGAGTGGTGCAGCGATGTCTATGATAGTGTGGAGGAGTTCCTTGGCTTCTATGCTCATTTCAATGAGCAAACTGAGGAAGACCTCGAGGATGACATAACTAGCTTGGAAGGATTGGTATGATTATAGAAGTGACGCGTGTTCGAGGTCTATCGTACCATATTCTTTTACCTCTAAAAGAGGCTTTCCGTCAAGCAATACAAGCTCATAAGTCCAGAAGCCCGAGATGAATACAGCATTTTAATCCCAAGCAAGTAGTAGCCACAAAAGTGACACAACACAAAAACACCTGTAGATCCAAATCCTTTCCATAAATCACTCAGGGTCGATCGGCCAGCTTTTTCGGGTAACCGACGCTTGATCAGCCCGGCACACACACCGATAGTCAAATACAAGACAGATATGGCTATCTCTGGTCTGGAAATATCCAATGGCCGACGCGATCCATCGAGCTCATATATTTCACTTCCAACTGATTGTTCCTGGAGGTGGCTATGAAATCTTCGAAAGTGAGAAAGTTGTCGACGCGCTATCCAATACTCTGTACCTCTTCGAAACGCGCCGAGGTTGTTAACAATGGAGCTCCCGCCCTTTGGGGCTTTTAACGGCGTAGTGTCAGCTATGGTTTCGATTAGATATAGGAGTGAGCTCCATTTACTAGCGTTGATCGTGCAACTTGCCTCAAGCTTGAGATCAAGAACACGAATCACGGTGTCGTTGTTTGGGGCAACCTCAGAGCTAGGTATCGAGCGATACGTCGTAGCTAGGTTGCACTGATGCTTTAGGCTATATAGACCGATGCCATCTTGAACATTATTATAGTGAACCATCCAGTCACAGTCCCCAGAGGCAGTTTCGCTAGTTCTACAATACTCTTTTAGCATTAGTTCGAGTCAAGTTGTCAAATGGACTTGCCCTATTCGTATCCTGTCGAGATCATGTTCAATGCTGCTATTCATACCAAAATAGCCTGCTTCACTCACGACTCGCTCCCCGGGTATCACGCAAAGATAACGGGCAGTTACCGGGTCATGTAGACGGACGTTATCGCCCGAAGAGATCCGCCGCGACCGCTGCGACATTTTTGGGGGGCGAGGATATTTCTGAAGTTCCCAAAATAGCGAGTGAGAAACCTGTCCTGGAAGAATACCCGGTGTGAACCTTCAATAGACCAACGTTCCCCATCTTCATCAACATGGTCATTGAAGGAGTCGAGCATCTCTTCAGGAAGACTTTCTTGCCAGATCATACTGTCGGTCCAGAGAAAGCCTGCCCCTGGAAGGTACATAGTATAAGCTGTTGAATCCATGATACCAGATCCAATCTGGCCTGGCATTGAGATTCTGTCCAGTGCAGGGAATGGGGTTAGGTGTCTCCGCATAGAGGCTGAGAAATAAGAGAGGTTATAGTTACCCCCAGCAGCTGATTCGGACGCTGGGATAAGGCATCCAACCATCAACCTGGCCAATACTGGGCAAATAACATACGCAAAGGCAATATTAGCGCTGCATTCCAGAGCAAGGCGAATCTATAGTCGTTCAACGTTAAGAGTCGCGTACTTAGCAAGGCATATTGGTTAGACTCACAGGCGTGTAGCTGAGGTCTGCGATTTTCCCAGTCATTTTTCTAACTCGAGCAACAGTCCATAGAAGATATGCTATAACAGCATCAAGGTCATTGCAACCTAGCATATAGCTAATGAGCACCAAGAACTCCCCAAGACCGAGGGAAAGCAGTGCTTGTAAACATCGAGGATAGTTTTGCCAGGAAATGGATGATACTATGGCCAGAATCAGACAGCCATCTGAAAGGTTGTTTAACTATTGAATTATAAGTCTCTTCTGACACAACACTAAGTGAAAAACAGTGCATACCAGCGCAAGAAGATGATCAGGTCTAAACAAGCTGGACCAGAACGTGGCTGTGCTGAAAATCACACAATACAACACAGATTTCTTGTAATGGCTGCCTGCCGTGAAATTTCCGTCGGCCTTTAACACCCGAAGGAATTCAACGGCGATCAAGGTCCATAAAAAGTGACACGTGCAGGTCAGAAATTTCAGTGTTGGTTGAGACGGCCCAAGGGTAGCGGATAAAGGAGCGAAGAGCTCCAGGGTCAGTTGACCTCTAGTGCTAAACTCGGTCAAGGTGTTGTGTAGATGTACTAGAAAGGGGCTATAATCGGGGGATGCGCGGCTTATGATAAGGAAGGCAATGATGAGCATTGGTAAGATAAAAGTCCGCCGAATGACGCTGGGACGTGCAGGCTTGATCTCCATTGTGTCGATGTCTCAGGCAACTGACATTTCCCGAGTTGATAAGGAAAAGAAAAATCTGAGTTGGAGTGAGAGGGTGGCTCATGCCGTCTTGCCGCTAGTTTATCTGGTGTTTGTTGGTCTTATGCATGTTGGTTCTGTATCCTGGCAGCAACATACAGAATTAGCCATTATAGGAATCTGCAGGAGGGTTCCCCTGATTCTAACCGAGGTTCAAAAAGATAAAGTGCCTCGGCCGGAATTCAATTGCATTCTTCAACAGACGCTATTGTGGTCTATGGTTAATGTATCTCTTGTCCTTTTTTATACTCTATATATATCTTATAGTCAGGGCTATTTATAAGCACCCGCTGTTTCACTTTATTCTTATTTCTTTATCGCTTTAGTAATAAAAGTATAATAATAAATATAATATAACTATAAAAGCAAAATAAAACTAATTAAGTTTTATCTCTATTTTCTTTTATAAGCTTCTTAAAAGATATCTTTTAAATTTAAGTAAAATATATTTATAATTAATAGATTAT